GAGTCTCTGTGGCTTAGTGGTAGAGCATCAAAGCGCGGAATCCGAAGGACTGTGGTTCGATTCCCCATGGGAACTCAGCATTGTTTCTTTGTCTCGCGCTCTTGACAAGATATAAAACATCTTTCCCTATTTCTTTACCGAGCTCAAAAACTTCCGTCTTTGTTATTCTATTAACAACCCTTCTTTATTGAGAGCGGCACTTCACAAACAATCTACATGTGACTCTAGGGAAAAATACAAAACAGGACAAATTGAAATAAAAATTGACATGTGAACATTAGCAGAAATGTATTTGTACAAAGCAGTTAAGTGGATAAAACACTAGATAACTCAGTAGTTACATTTGTTTGTCTCACTTTGTATAAAGAAGTAGGAGCAGTCCTTGAATTCGTAAGGTAGAATATTCCAAAATCTTGATAACTGAAAATAAATTATGGCCAACCGTTAGAGTAACTTTACACGAGATATTATTAAATTTCTAAAATTGTTCTGTGTGTTTCTGGGAAACTTCCCAGAGGTAGGTAGCTTTCACTCAAATAATAACACAATTTGAATCGTACTGACATGTAGGATAAAAAGTTTATAAAACCCTAACGAAGACAAGAAGCCACTTAATTGTCTTACAAATCTTACAGAAAGAGTGGTTTGGGTAGGAGTTTTTGAATTTGTTTTTCGATCACTCATTTAACTAGGGACATTTTTCCCATGACCGCAAACGAATGGACCCTAAGCCTCACTAGCTCCTTCAAAAAAGTCCTACGAAGAGTTTTCAATTTTTTTCAACCGTTTTTCAGTCACTAATCCAGAATGAGCTGAATCACTACTTCCTTTTCCAAAACTACGCGAGAACCGCCGAGTTACAAGCTCCGGTGAAGGCTTTTCCAGACGAATAGCAAGTGTGCGATCATGATACGCTTTTTTCAGACTCAATTCTCCCACATTGTGGTGTACACTCCCCAGCTCTTGGTAGATTGTTGCAACATCGACATGCTCAGGTCCGAGTTTTTTCAGACAAATGGCCAGTACGCAATCATAAAACTCTTTTGCTTGACTCAGTTTACCCAGGCCAATGTGCACATTGCCCAGGTTGTTGGACGTTCGTGCGACATCAACATGCTCAGTTTCGAGTTTTTTCGGACTAATGGCCAGTGCGCGATCATAAAACTCTTTTGCCTGACTCAATTCACCCAGACTAAAATGCACATTTCCCACGTTTTGGTACGTGCGTGCGACATCAATATGTTCTGGCCCGAGTTTTTTTTAGACGGATGGCCAGTGCGCGATCATAAAGCTCTTTTGCCTGACTCAGTTCACCCAGCTTGAGGTGCACATTTCCCAGGTTTTTGGTACGTGCGTGCGACATCAACATGCTCAGGTCCAAGTTTTTTCAGACGAATGGCCAGTGCGCGATCACGAAACTCTTTTGCCTGACTCAGTTTACTCAGGTTGCGATGCACAATTCCCAGGCTGTGGTACGTTTCTGCGACACCGACATGCTCAGGTCCGAATTTTTTCTGACGAATGGCCAGTGCGCGATCATAAAACGCTTTTCCCTGACTCAGTTTACTCAGGTTGCGATGCACAATTCCCAGGCTGTGGTACCTTTCTGCGACATCGACATGCTCAGGTCCGAGTTTTTTCAGACGAATGAACAGTGAGCGATCACAGAACTCTTTTGCCTGGCTCAGTTCACCAAGGCCAATGTGCACATTTCCCAGGTTGTTGTACGTTCCTGCGGCATCAAAATTTTCAGGTGCGAGTTTTTTTAGACGAATTGCCACTGGGCGATCATAAAACTCTCTTACCTGACTCAGCTCACCCAGGCCAAGGTGCACATTTCCCAGGTTGTTGTATATTCTTGCGACATTAGAATGCTCAGGTCCGAGTTTTTTCAGACCAATGGCCAGTACTTTTTTGTGCTCAGAACATTTCAAAACAGAAGACATGCGAAAAGACGTGGGCAGATCGCTGGAAATTGGTGAAAGGTTTATAATGTTTGTACGCTTGTTTTGTTGCCTGGATACCGAAAGGAAATGCCTCCTTTGATTTTCGGTATTGTAGTGTTTATGCTGGGGTTTTTTTCTCCTTATTAAAAAGGTGACATTTATATTTCTTTGTGCACTGTGGTCTTATACGATATCTGTGAACTGAATGTATAATTATAAAATTATAATGTAAAATTAAAATGTAGAATTAAAAATTTATAAAATGATGAGTATTACTATTATATATATGGGCAGAATCATCTCGATTTAACTAGTCAGTACCGAAAAAACCACAGAAAATGCCTGCTTAAAGAGTCCCAGTAGC